TGGGACCCTAGAGAACCCCCTAGCGTACACCTGTCAGGACCCACTGAGAACACGCAGCAGCACCTGCAGTGGGCATTGGCCCTTGACTCAAACCAACTTCACTTTTCTGAGAACAACCCTTGCCTGAAGTGGGCCCTCCAGTTCGGACAGAGCTTAGGCCGGGACCTGAGCCGTTGGAGAGAAGAGATCGTTCAAGACGTGAGAAGCCTGAAAGAGGACCTCCAGTTCGAGCAGGAATACTGGCTCCAGTCAGCACCTCAGCACGTTCAGCATGTATACCGACAAGGTGGCGATGCCCTGGTGTTGCAGTCCCTTGTAGTGTTACACCTGCTTACCTTGTTCGAGTTCCCAGGCACCACCGAGGTGGCAGAAGAACTCCAGTTCGGTTTTAAGGTGTTAGGTCCCCTCACCCCGGGTACCGGTTGGGACGCCCGTCAGGACGCCAAGTACAGCAGGCCTCTCTCCCGTTCGCAGTTTCAGTCGCTGAACGCTGAGCACAAACGTTCCTTGTTCTCCGACACCAAGCCATCGGAGCACACAGCGACGATGCTTGAAGAGATTGCAAAGGAACAGCTGAAGGCCAGGTTTCATGGCCCGTTCGAACCTTGTCAGGTCGCAGACGACCAACAGTCACGCGCCGCACGCGCATTCCCGGTAGTGCAGCAAGACAAGGTGAGACGCGCCGATGATTGGCGCAGGTCCCACCATAACAGCACAGTCTTCGTGCAGGACTCCCCGCCATATGCGGGCACACAGTCGGTTCTCAACCTGGTTCAGTCGGCAGCCCAGTTCGGAGAGCCCACCGTCGCAGCCTTAGACCACGACGGAGCCCACCGAGCCTTGCCCGTTAGAGACCCCCAAGAGTGCTACGTGTTCGTCCCGAACCAAGCCGAACCCAGCGTGTTCCGACACCTAGTCCTCCCGTTCGGAGGCACAGGCTGCGTGTGGAGCTACCTGAGGATTGCAGACATCATCTGCTTTCTGACTATCACTATGCTGTTCATCCCGGCAGCACACTTTGTGGACGACTACTTCTACTCCGAGCCATCACAGACGAGTGCGTCAGCCTTCACATCCTTCTGCCTCTTGCAAGCCCTGTTAGGCTTCCAGATGAAAGAGTGTAAAGCCCAGAAGCCAACAACCCACGCCACCCTGCTAGGCGTTGTGTGGGAGATCGTGGCCGACAGCGTAAAAGCCGGGCCCAGCCCTTCCCGGATATCTAAGCTCAAAGGTCTGGTGGAGAAAGCCCTGTCAGACAACAGACTCACGTCAGACGAGGCCGCACACCTGGCAGGCAAACTCAACTTCGTGTGTTCTTGGGTAACCTGTCAGACGCAGCCTCGAGGGGAGACTGGGCACCGAGCGACTCGCTAGGGTGCCGACGTTGCAGCCCCGATTTCGGCAAGACGTGGGGTACCCTACAAAAGCTGACCGAGACCTCTGTGACACCCGACGCGGCCCTGTTCGAAGACTTGGTCGGCTTGTTAGCGCTGCCAACCGCCGCCCAGTGAGCCGCGCGTGAGAGTGGTCGTTCCGCGCGGAGTGGCAGACTGCGGACCGACCTGTTCGCCTTGAAAGGGCTTGAGCAGGGGTCTGAAACCCGACGCCACGACACTCCGCGGGTAGTGGAAAAGAAGAGCGAACTCCTGTTCGCAGCCAGTTAGAAGCTGTAGGAGCGAGACTTGTCCGGAAGTGCACGTGTGCACCTTGTGACAAGTAGAGCGAAACAGCTGAACTGTGACTTTCCAGTCAGAGCTGTGTCCTCTCGAGTTTTGCCTTTTAGAAACCCTCCACACCCGCCCGGAGGCAGACTGCGGACCGACCTGTTCGCCTTGAAAGGGCTTGAGCAGGGGTCTGAAACCCGACGCCACGACACTCCGCGGGTAGTGGAAAAGAAGAGCGAACTCCTGTTCGCAACCAGTTAGAAGCTGTAGGAGCGAGACTTGTCATTAGTTCTTATGGTTCTGATGTTCATGATGAATATGGCTGTTGTTTATGACGAGAATTACTATACAAGTACTAATTCTGCTGCCACGAGGACCTGCTACTGCTGCTGTTACTGCATAATAGATGTCGAAGCACCTTGTTGAAGCTTTGCATGAGAGCAATCGGGTATTCGCAGTAGACATAAGAGTTGCTGGTTTATCAAGAACATTGGCAGAAGATTCTTCCGAACAGTCTGCTTCGTCTGTTTTTGTCTATCACGCGCTCCGTCACAGATTCGGATACATGACGATGCAATCCCAGTCTCGGCAACAGCTTGTTGTCAACATTCATCGAACCGACGAAATGCAATAGGAAGATCGAATGTCTCCGACACACCGTCGATGGATTTGCCAGCGAAAGAAAGGCATTCCTAGGCCATTCAGAACGTCCTACCGGTGTGCTTACTTGAGTGCAGCGAAACAGGCAAGTAGTCGAGGCCATAATCCAGCAGTCAAGCGACTCCGAGCCGAGGCTGATAAGAGCCTGAAGGCAGGCAACTCTGTCGATGATTAGCGGCAGTGGGGGAAGAATAGCTTGCAGTAAATATCGCAATGCGAATTAGTGCACAGCACTGATGACTGCACTATATCGAAAGCATCAGAGCTTCGGGCTCGCGTGTATGTCGGATTTGCTTCGTTGGACCACTGGCTCATCGCAAATCGATTTTACCGCACACTTCTCAATATCAGTCTCCCAGACGAAGCTTTAGGTGTCAGGTGTACGCTTCGAAAGGGTTGAAACATAATCCCCGCGCACATCACACATGCGCATCGCCACACACCATACGAACCCTTAGACATGACCGATCGCAAGCTGCACCCGCATACAAGACACAAAGAGTCAAAAGCGTTGCTCGAAGAGAGGAAGATGTGGCCACTTTCACAGCTTAGCAGAACAGTATTTTTTCTTTCTTGGAGAGCTGACCTGTTAGATCTTGTTCGCAGCAGCTGCGCTGCCGTAAGAATTTGTGTGGCGACGCTTCGTTAGGTTCACCCTGGCAAGATCAAGGAGGCAAGCCCAAGTTAAAGCTTCGGAACCATGTGGGTGCCTTTGCTTCCTTGCAGCACTTGGAACAGGATCTCAGTATCGCGCAGTGGATTCAGCAACCCGGATAAGTGCGTGATCGTGGTCAGGAGTCCAGTCGCACAGTGCTGTCTCCAAGCGTTGTTTGGTTTGTGTTTAAACTTTAAACTTGTTGCACTGCATTTTTGCTGCATGTCGTGGCCCGCGGCCTGGCAGGATGGGAAACTTCAGGGTGTTTTCGCTGAAGTGAAGTATTTGCCTTTGCACCGTGCCGACGGGCCGCTCACAAGGCCGGCACTTTGCCCTTTGCTTTGTGATTTCCTCGTGATTCTTCGTGCTTTCCTTTTCAACGTGGCCGAGGCGACCCGTCAGCCAACGGCCTGGGACAAGTGCCCAACATATTTAACTCTAGCAGGGGAGTAGTCAGAGCCACCGTGCAGGTCATGCGTAGTCTCCACCTGTGTCAGCAACACTTCCGATCAAGCGCTTCAGAAGAAACACAGGTGGATTGCAAGACCTGTGCGTTCTGTTGTCCTGTCAGACGCAAGACATTGATCGAAGCAGGATTAGTCATTGACAGCTGCAAGCAAGGACTTGAGCCTCCCTGGCAGAGGCCTAGTAATGATCACCGTAGCAGGACAGCGAGAGCCTTGCAAAAGTTCCTGAGTGGAAACAGGATTGACAGGCCATGACAGACTCTGCGGTCAACGATAGCTTAGCATCGGCCAGTCTAGTTCAGGAACTGCAACGAGGAGTGGATGGGCCGCCTAAGCTCTTGATAAGGTCTTGAACTAGACTGGTGGCATGCATAGGTCAGGTGCTCGGAAGTGCACTTGAAGATCTTCAAGTTTTTTGCGACCAATGCGTGACGGCACCAGATTCCAGGGTGGCTAGCAACTCAAGTGAAATTGGGACTTGATCATGCCGTCATCATAATCTGTGTCAGCCGTGTGTCTGACTGCCATGATACCCGACAGTACCTGCATGCTTTCCGCATACCTTCATCGCAGTAGCATGCTTTCAGCCTTTCCAATCGTACTGCATGGCAGGAGCCTGACAGCCGGCACAAGCAGATAAAGCGCACAGAAACTGCGCACTCGAAGCTCTTGAAGCTCTCTTTGGCTCTAGTTTTCACAGTTTGCGCTGCGACAAAGCGAGCTTTGTTGCTTTCCGTAGAGCGCGATGACCAAGTGCCAAGGTAGTCTCTTTGCTGTCCTTATGCATACGTCAGCAACTAGACGACATCATCTCTGACAGCAAGGATGCTTAGCCGCACAGCGGGTGTTTTGCGAGGCTGCTAGTTCCAAGCGGAATGTTTGGACAGGCAAGCCGTCGGCGAGTTTGGAGAACAATTTTCCCATAGAGGGATGCTGAGTCTGGTGGGTGGTTGTATCAGCACTGATTGCTGGCACCATTCAGATAGCAGCAATGACACCGCTGACGGAACGCAACCACCCGAATGCTTTTTTCGAGTGCAGTAGGGGTGCACTCGAGAAAGCAAGATCTCAGCGGATGTGCTTGTGCACTCGCACGCACCAAGGGCCATCTTGTCGTGCATCCATTGCGATCTAACCAACATCTAATATGTAGCAGCCGTAGGTTGACTATCAGGATCGAGGGTACAGAGACGAGTTGTCCTGCTGCCCTAGCGAGGCATGCATTGTTCGATGCGTGCTCAATTTTTGTTCAGATGGCATCGGCTGTCCTGTTTTTTGCAGAGGCCCACATCATTGCATGATATTGGGTCAGGTTTTGGATCTTGTCACACGATCTGGCAATATCTCATGCTCGCAACCTTCGGGTTGAGAGGGCGCCACTCCTCAAGCCCGGAAGGAGGAGAAGAGTTTCGTAGGTAGCTTGGGTAATTACTATCTTACCATCGTCATTGCTTACTCGAAAGGGTCGAGTCCGCTTCCTTGTGCATCATGCCGTGACATGGACTTGGATATGCCAGTTGCATGTGTTGCATGTGTTTAATACTGGTAGCTCAGGCTGAGGAACGCTCCACTGCCTCATCCTTGGCCGACACGGGCGGATCTGTTGGCGGGCTGCTAGCCCTCGGAGGCTAACGCGATTCGATGGAAGGTCGACTGTCAGTGCCGGTCAAGCTTTCGTTTTCGAAAGGTGGTCCTTTCTTGGCATCCTTGTTGGGTTGGCAACTGACCTTCGTGCTGCACTCGGCACTCACTGCCCAGCCACAGGATAGCTTTAGCGGTCTCTCCCAAGTGTCCCAAGGCAGTCTATGGAGTGCTTTCCAGTTGTTTCTGTATTGTGAGAAGCTTAGTTTCAAGCGTGATCGTCTAGTATTGTCTTGCGAGAGCATGAATTTCTGGGTCAATTGATTGTTGCGATGATGTAATTCACACCTCCGACATCCGAGACATGGCTCGGCATCGCTTCCAGTGCTGCGCCTGGAACGGAGATTTGAGAAGGGATGGCCGCTTGCATTCTATAGGCATCCAAAAGAGGCTTGCCAACATCGAGCTCCTTCATATCCGAAGTCGAGTTGCAGATGCTCATCAACGAGGCCGAATCATTATGCGGGATGTTGTGCGCAAGCCATGGCACCACTGCATTGGCAGGGGGTGGTCAACAAGTCTCTGGCGAGCCAGAGCCAGCCTACCAAGGCAATTTTGTTGCGGTGTTCTCCCAAAAGATCGCAACAATCTGAGACTGCCGTTTCGACAGCTGCAAGCCTCCCACGTCGGTGCGCCTGCAGGTTCAAGGAATTTCCTGGCGCATGTTCTTCTCGTCACCAGTCCTGGCTGTATGCTATGCCCATGCGGTTTTCAATTTCGGAAGGCCCGTGAAGCATCCTTTCCCGACGCTTTTTCAAGCTTTCCAATAGCTGCTGTTTAGTTTGCTTGTGATCTGCGGCATCCGTGTCTAGTGTAATCGCAGGTACTTCCTCTATGGATGGATTCCAACATTTTACAGTCAGGCTGATGCATGCTGGCCTTTGGAAGTGTTGACCGCCCGCCCCACACAGGTGCTGGGTGTGCCGGCGGCCACGGCTGCTTTCTGCATGACGTCCCTCCAGGCAGTTGCATTCAAAGCTTTGCCAGCCTTTTCCGGTCTATCTGCTGCTTGGCAGGTTGCTGACGCGTTTGTGAAACTCGCAGTAGCTCCCCTCGCTGATAGTCTCGTCAAATCGGGAAGGCTCGACGAGAGCTGTTTGGCTTCGTGATGGTGGCTCTGCGATTTCAGGCTGTCTATCTTGGGGCTGCGCAGACTGTTGAGCTGCAGCGGCTTCGTCGGTCCGGGGCACAGACCTGCTTTCACTCAGCGCATCTCAGCGCCGAGCGGCAGTCTTACCCTCTCTCCCGGAGCAAGTCATAAGGGCATAAGGGCTTCAGCTGTGCCTGTGCTGCCACTTCTGCTCGTGCTTGCGCAAATACCCAGCATAGCCAGCATCTCGCAATGTGTCTGAGCGGAGGGCATTCCGTGTATCGTCTACTCTTTGCCTCGACAAACCTGTTGGATGTCACGGTATTTGCGTCGGTCAACGGCACCGCTTCTGCTTCTTCGGTCACTCAAGCGCTGCATTGCCGATTCGAGACCCCCCCTGGTGGACACAACGATGCAAGCGCAATAATGTCCACCTTGACACTGCAGTCGGGGCCGTCCGCGAGTTTGCCGCTGAAGTCGATGGCTGTCAGTGTCAGCGTCTGTACAGTTAGACAGAGTACAGGTCCATTATGTCGTTCCCTACTGCGCATTCACATCAGGCTTCGGTGCCGCACTGGGGCTGTGTTCGTTGACAACTTCACCAGTTTTAGTCACTGCAGCGTTGGCGCGGAGCTCAGAATTCAGCATTAAGTGATTCCAAGCAGTTTCCTTCTTGACAACCAGGTCTTGGGCAAGAGTGCTGCTTCTTGCCACGCTGCGGGTTTCAAGACAAACTATCTGGAGCGACGCGGACATGAAACTCAGTTTTTTCAAGTGAGCAGTGATTGGCTCGCAGAACTGGAGGACATTAGCCGAGCTCACACCGGATCCATCGCTGGAGTGGGAAACACCCTGGCAACATTGTCCAGCACAGCTGCTCCACTAATTGCAGGTACTGTGATCCAGGCGCGTCTTCGGTCTTCTTTTCCGAAAGTCTAGACCATAGCCGCGTAGCCGTATCCAAGCTTCAGGCCAGAGGCTGGAGCTCTATGTTTCTCATTTGCTTAGCTGTGAATCTGTCTTGGCCTGAGGTATGTCATGTCATGTCATGTCACTGGAGCTTGCGGCTTGTGGGAGTTGCTTGCAGACTCGAGGTCCGGAGCCGCTGTATTCGGCATCTTTTCTTCAGCACAGAATCTGGACCCTGTGCTGAAGAAGGCCGCCATGCCGTCCGTTCGCTGCGACACTTTACGGCTACCTTCCAGAGCTTTACAGAGGACCCCCCGTTGACTAGCAAACTTTCGTTGGCACTCGAACCATCCGACATGGCTGCTCCAACTCTCGGAGTTTGGATTCCGGCAGGCTCGCCGGCCTGGGGTTGAAAAATGAATGCCTTGGCCCCGCGACGCGCAGCAATGGATGGTACAAGTTCATCCCGAGTCGCCCCGCCCAGCAAGCGGCAACGGGACTCCAGGAAGACCTGTGTAACTCTGTGCATAGACTAAGCTGGTGCCAAAGCAGCACACAACAGCATGCAGCAGTTCTCGGGAACGAAACTGCGTGCATTGATGATGCGCAATGCATTGCAACGCTTCAAAGGCGACTACTGTACTCGAGGCTTTTTCTGACAGGGCTCAGATGGGCACAGGCTTCTAATAAAGGCGACGGTGCGCTGTCACCATCTTCGTTATGGCGCCACGGCTGCCACGTCGACCGTTCCCTGGTGAAATGTCGGTGGAAGTGCATCGAGCTGGCGCTCTGCAGTGCTGCTTAGGCTGGCTCCCTGCTATCTTGGACCTCCAAAGGAAGTCGACACAGTGCCCGAGGGCTATGCCCGCGTCTACCACAACAGGACCACCAGCATGGCATGCCATTGCCTTCATGTGCTCGATACTGCTCTGCTCCAGTCAGGAGGCGAACCTCTTGGACAGACTACAAACTCACCGAAGGCGACGATGTGAGCTTGTCGCGGCAGTCCACCGCAGATACAGATATCAGCATCTCGGCATATCTCATTCTTGGTCACACCCCTTCGACTTTCGAAGAGGTCGGTTGTGTGGTGTTCTGTGGGGTCTGCTGCTGCAGCGCGCGAAGCACCATGATGCTTGGATACGTTTGGTAGCAATAGTCCAATCAAAAGCGGCGCAGACAGTGTGAAACAGCAAGCTTAGCGAACACGACAATAGGGAGAAACTTACCAACTTCTACTGCTTGACGGCTCTTGGCGTCCACGGATTTCCCCAATGGCGGCCGGGCCATCCTTTGACCAGCCGACTGGTGACCTTCCCGAGCACTCGTGTGAGACCAAAGATCAGGAGGCAATTTGACAGCAAAACTTCATTGGAATAAGATGGAAGAAGGCCTGTCGATAAATTTGTGCCGTGGGGTACGGATCTCGCTGACCGTGATGTTTGAGAGCATGTCGCATAACCTTAACATTCTGTTCGAGAACTGTTCCCTTGAGGCCAGCGGGAAGTTTCCCTCCTGCCCCGGTCCGGCATCAGTGGCCTCATGTATGCTGATGGACAGCTTACCAAACGGCAGAAGCCATTGGAACTGTCTTAGTTAAACTTCCCAGCAATATGAGCACGCTGGGCTGTTACTGGTTGCTGTAATCGCTTGATGTACGCGCACGTGTGTCTGTATGTGTGTGTGTATTTGGTTTTTGTGCACGTGTGTGTATCGGGGCGTGTGTGGCGTGCGTGTGTGGGAGAGGGAGGGAGAGAGAGAGAGAGAGAGAGAGAGAGAGAGAGAGAGAGAGAGAGAGAGTGAGAGAGTGACCGATTGCAAGCAAGCAAGCAAGAGAGAGAGAGAGAGAGAGAGTAGCCATTTTGGCTCAAGCCTCTTTAGGTGACGCTATACTCGTGAAGGGCGAGTGTGACATTCTTTGTCCTTGCGGGGGACCTCGTTACTGCAAGTTCCTCACCGTCTCCGCTCTTGACTGGGGGGAGACGCACCTCTCCAACAAGCACCCTGACAGCACCAGGGCCGAGCTTCGCAGGGGGATTGCCAACGCTTGGGTGAGGGATTACCGCGTGTCAGTGATCGTGACTTTCCGGACGGGGGAGATCGCAAACTACCATGGCGTGGATGGGGCGAGAATGCCGGCTATGCCGGTATGCTGGTGGCATCTGTCAGCCGGGGTTCCGTAAGACACACGTCAGAGAGGATCCCCAATGCAGGTTGCATGGCATAGCTGAGCGCATGGGTATCCGGCTGGGGGACGCAGCTTATGAACCAGCGAGACCGCCACCGAGCATGGAGGGGACGCAAGCACCCACCCCCCTGTGCAGCAAGACGGCTTTTCGCACACAGGGGGGATTACACCTGCTCTTCGAACCGGACACGCTGGACCGATGGACTGCAAAAGAACTCAATGTGGACGACGAGGGCCGGTACCTACTTATGCCGTCGGGGGAGGCCCTCGGATCCGAAGCCGCAGGGGAGTACGAGAAGTACATGGCCAGTTTTTCCCACAGGTTTCGCCTTGGAGAACAGGCAGATCGATCGCCTAGTGCGTATAGTTGACAAATGGCTTCCGAAGATTTCCCAGGAGAACAGAGTGTATACAATGAAATTCCCAGAGAAAATCCCTTTCATGCTGCGCAAGGCTTGGGGGATGCGCCGCAAACTTCGCAGGCGACGAGCAGAGCTGAAAAGGAAAACCATGGAGGGGGAGAAGCAGCAGCCAACAGACGACACGACCGACGAGGAGGACACGCCACCACCAACAGCACAGCGAGAGGAGCCAGCCGGCAGCTCACAGGGGGTGGCCGCTGCAAATGTGAGAAAGGAGTACAGTGCCTCAGCCACCCCACCGGACTGGGGGAGCCCGGACAGCCAAGACGAAGAGGGGGAAGCCGAACCGGGCCGACCGGACGAAGACCACCACAAAGCAGACCTGGGGGAGCAGGACGACAACAACAACGACTACTACCAGGACCATGTCGAGGCAATGTGGCCATGGGGCCCAGCTGGCAGACCGTCAGACTCTGAGCCCGGACAGCGAAGACCAAGCGAACCCACGGGGGAACCCAAGGCAAAACGTCGGTGCAACTTGTCCGACAAAGCGGGGGAGCCAACGGGCGCCCCAGACAGCAACCGAGTCGCCTTGGTACCCAACTTACGCTGGCAGATACAACAGGTTCAAGAACACATGGCCAGACAACGTGGAGTCAGCCAACACAGCGGAGAGGATGACGCCGACTAGGTCGAGGGGACACCAGAAGGTCCTGCAGTGAGACGGAGTGAGCTCGGCAAAATTTTTCGAGTGACGGCCAGAGCGCGGGATTGGGGAAGGGATTTCGGTTCTTGGTGTTGCTTTTGTTTGGGTCTCCTGTTTGGCTTTGCTGGCCTCCCCTCTCCGCCGTGACCTGTAATGCCTGAGCCTCCCCATTACATGGGGGATTTCTCCATTGTACACCCTTGCCGGGGGATGCACGAACCCTGTACCATACATGTCCCATAGCACAGTCTCTTCAAACCACTGTCATGATTTGACAGTTTCCTTCCGCATTCTGCAATTCATTGCACCGCCGTCACCTGACGATGTCTGATCCGCCCTTTTACCGCAAATTAAACGTTCTTCTCAGCTCTGGGCGAGGGGAACGGAAATTCAACCGGCAACCTTTTTCAAGCCCCCCTGAACCAGCTATAGGCTAAGGACTTTTAGCCATAGGGGCGCGGCGATGAGGCGGGGGTTGTGTCGGTGTTTAGCGTTCGGGGGGGGCTTGCTGCTTGCAAACTCGGGGCACACTAGGTAGTACAGTGCCGTAATCTGGAGTACCCCAAAAGCCGTCCGCTCACTAGCACAGTGTGGCGGGCTGAAAGCCTGCGGGTCACGACAGTGACCCCTAAGCCCGGCAGAAAGAAAGAGAGAGAGAGAGAGAGACTAGGGGGCGCCCAGCAGAAAGAAAGAAAGAGAGAGAGACGCTCCGCAAGCCAGCAAGCAAGAGAGAGGTCTAGCCATTTTTTCGACCCAGGTTTGGGAAAGATTGTGCTTGCACAGGCATGGATCCCAAGCAGCAGCCTGACGGGAGTTTCAGCATGACTCCATCGACACGAGAGCTGCTCGCGCAGCTAGATGCAGAGAAGTGTATCGGCTGTTGCATGCAGCGAAGCAAGATCCTCGAGGAAGCCTTGACATACTGTCGCATCCCTGGCTATGTCCAGCCATGTGCAGAAGACGGTTGGTCTCCTCTGCTCATTGCAACTCGATTGCACAGCGAGTCAGGCTGTCAGAGATTGTTCGAGGAGGGTGACAGGGTATACCCATTATCAGCAAGAAGCGATGGAACCTACATGTACATGGTATCTCCGTCAGCTAGTTATGCACCTTGAAAGTGTGCTGTGAGTTCTGCGACTCCTCCCTTGCGATCTTTTCCAAATAGAACAATATGAATCCCTTTTGCTGTTACTGTCTTATCCCCTTCGCTATGAACTCATTACCATCATGCACACTATCATACATCTTCACTTTACGCACGGCCGGCTTATTTTTTCAGGCCGGACCCCAGCCGGATTGAATTGTTTTTGAGTTTCAAGCCGGTCCGTCGAATGTTGCAGGAAAGGTTTTGACAGGAATACTCACTTTACGATGGATCGGCGAGAAACCCAGGCCGTTGCCAATTGCAAGCCATGCACCCCCCAAACCTAGCCCGCTTGAACGGCTTGAACTCACAATGTCTATGAAGTCTTCAATCTGGAATCTTCGGTGACGTGGCTTGAAGCCCAAGCCGTTTCAAGCCACTCACCCCGAAACCGAGGATTCCCACACAAGTGTCTATGAAGTCTTCAATATTGAATCTTCGGTACGTGGCTTGAAGCTCAATCCGTTTCTAGCCATTTCAAGACGCCCACACCACACCCTGAAACCCAAGATGCCTACACAAGTGTTTATGAAGTCTTCCTTAAATCTGGAATCTTCGGTGACGTGGCTTGAAGCTCATGCCGTTTCAAGCCGTTTCAAGCCACCCACCCCGAAACCGAAGATTCCCACACAAGTGTCTCTGAAGTCTTCAATATTGAATCTTCGGTGACGTGGCTTGAAGCTCAATCCCTTTCAAGCCATTTCAAGCCACCCACCCCGAAACCGAAGATTCCCGCAAAGCTTTCTGGGAAGTCTTCAATCTGCGGTGATACGGTTTGAAACCCAATCAGTTTCAGCACTGTCGACCGATCTTTCCCAGTCCAAACAAATCACCGGAAGGTTCTTCATCCGGTTTTGCATGCCTAAATCACCTAATCAAACAGCTTTGTCAACTCCCGCCTCTAAACTCTCAGACTAAGCTTTCGAATCATGTCAAAACTTGTAACTTTGATGGCATGGACAACTTTGAAGGATTTAGCCAGTTTGGCTGGGCTTCCGATACCCGACATACTTTCGAAGC